ATTATTTTCAGGATTTTTAGGAAAGGGACACTTTCATCTCTGCTTTTGTGATTATATTAAAGTTATGATATATATAATAACAACATGTTCAAGTAACACTACGTATAATCTTTACTGGTATGTATTATGTTAATTATGATATGTGTTATAACAATATAACATGGTAGAGTTACACTACTTGAGGTCTTCTCTTGCTTCAAATGTTAAAAGTAAAATGGGTTTGTATGTATATATCATGCTATATGTTGATGAATTGCTTGTAACCATTAAAAAGGTGACTTCCTTTAGACAAATTTCTGAAGGTTCCTGTTCAGAGTAAACTTTCTCTCTATGTATATGCTAATATATATATATTTGGTTTCTATTAGGACTTACTTTTTTTTCTTGTTTAATTTAAGATGATGCTACAAGAGTTGTGCTTAAGCTAGGGACTACAGGAGATTACATCAATGCAAGCCATGTAAATGTAAGTTGAATTGACAAATAGTTTAACATGAAAATTTGTTCTCAAGCTTTACTATAAAATTTAATATACTTAAAGTGTTCCAGCAAAATTATTATCAAACAATTTCCAAGGCAATACATTAGTATACTTTTCAAGTAAGACTACCAACAAGCCACCAAGTTAAAGATTGTATTCTGAATAAAAAAATAAAGAGTAAATAATTTTTGTAAGCAAAGTTTTGCTTTTTATCTAATAAGAAAAAGCTCATTTTATTCATTCTTCGGTATTGAAGCTGTTACGGTTTCTATTACAGTTATTATTTTTCTTGAAGAGAATCTTATGTAATGTTTGTTTTTATATATATATACAGTGTATTTCATTTATATATTTACATTGCATTTAAAACATATATATGTGTTGTACAATTATTGCAGTCACTATCTTGCAGATGTTTATGAAATTATGAGGCATTATATCAACAAATTATATTGATTGTTTACCATATAATAGACTCCTATACATCAGAAACTTTAGAAATTCCAAAATCTTATTCCTGCCTTATTTCTTTGTCTTGCATTTCAACATTTGTTCATATCTTCTGCCATATGATTGATTCCTATATATCAAATCATTTTTCTTCCATTTCAACAGTTTCTCCACATCTTTTGTCATATAATGAGTTCTTATTCAGCAGATGCTCATAATAAAGCCAAACAATCTTATTTGTACCTTATTTCTTTCTCTTGTATTTTCTTTCAAAATGTTTTTTTTAATTTAGTTTCTTAAAATACCAAAAAATATTAGTTTGATAACTTGCCTGTCTATTGACAAACAAAACTTTCCAAAGTTAGTTAATTATATCTCAATCTTCATTTACAGTGTATTATATCAGGTAGTCTTGTGTATCTGATTTCTTTCTAATTTAGGTTATCTAACTAATACCCTTTGTTAAGCTACAATGGATTGTTGTAACCTATATTTTCAATGTTTTAATTTAAATTTTAGCTAGAAGGTGCATCAGGTTAAGATCTAGTTGGATACATTAGTGGGAGAGTGCCAGTCAGTAGAGAATGAGAATGTTAATTTTAAAATGAAGTATTTAAACAGAGGTTATTGAGTAGTCATTGGGAGTTATCATGTTTGTCCTGTTGTTCAGTTACTTAGTGAATTATGTGTTTATCTAACAAAGCTAGTTAAATTAGGCATACATCTTGCACTTTGTATGAAACATATATGACGTTAGGTTTATGTTTAGTTGAGGAGTTTATGTTAAAATGTGTCCCACAACTTACAAGTAAATGTGGCTGTAGAAACATTATAGAAAATAAAAAGAAATAATGATTTGTTATTATTAATTGGACTGGACTTCACATTATTTTCACCCAATAATTCAAAAGAACCAACCCAATAATACAATACATTACAACAGCATTACATCAGATAGTCTAGTACATTTGTATTCTTACTGAATTAGTTAATAAACTTATATATAAGTTTAGTTAATTGACACCTTTTTGTCTAACAACAGCATATTATATAAGGTAATGTAGTGCATCTAGGAACAAAAAAGGACCATCTACTGTAATTTATTCATCTTAATGAATATATTACATCAAGATAGTTCACAATAATATTTCTTAGTGTCTACTATTAAGTATGTACATTTCATTATACACAGGCAGAAAATTTTAGAGTTTGAATGTCTTACACTTTCATTAGGTGAATTAAAGAGAACCATTTGTCATGCTGTAGATATCAATTGCTTCATTATAGTCTACATTTTTATAACTTTTTTTATGACAATTGCATAAAAAACGAAGGTATATTTTCACATAAAGCTTAGAATTATGTTATAAAACTTCTTAAGATGCAGTTGAGAACACCTTGAAAAAATATGATTAAGTAGATTAAGATAGAAAAATCTTAATTCATTAAAAAAAATATAATATATCAAACCTGTGAGAGATAGTTAAGCATGGTACAACTTATGTTGTCTAGAATGGTGATAACATTTAACTTTTCAGTATGGATCAGAATGTACAGAACCTATATGGTGAAGGAATTTCTGCTCTGGATTTGAATTTTGTGTAATTAGTATTGAAACCACTTGTTTTTCCTTCAGATGGAAATTCCAACATCAGGAATTGTAAATCGTTACATTGCTACACAAGGCCCACTTCCAAACACAATTGTTGATTTTTGGCAGGTAAGAGGTGATTTGATATTTTTACAACTGTGTCATAGCCTTTTTTTTTTTTCAAAATTAATTTACTTGTAGTAACAGTTGTGCATAAAACACTGTTTATTTAATAGAAATGTAGCATTGGAATTAACTTATAACTAAGATTATTGAAATTGTGGATTCATAAGAGTGTTGTAAAGGTTTTCCAACTCAGTGGATTTTCAACATTACCTAACTCTTCCACCCCAGGTACCCCTTTAACACTTTCAGCACAGGCTCAGTCAATTTGACCAACCACCTCATCTTTTTGTACTCTCTTAAAGTCTTTAAAGATTTATTACTTATAACTCTCAATATAGTGGATATATCTTTACGAAATTTCACATACAAAAACTCGTATTTCTTAGTGAAGTATTTTTAATGAAATAAAATAAAGATTTTTCCACGAATGCATTATTGAGTATTTGTTTTGAATAGTTCATGTGCAAAGAAATTTTCATGTTAAAATTAAAAATTCTTTTCCTCATCTCAAAAATCTCAAATCTAAATGCATTTCAAACGTTTTTATTCAGTAAAACTTTATAGTTTATCTATTACTTTCTCTACCCTATCTCAAAATGTGATTGGTCAATTCAACCGACCTCATAATTATAAAAACAATAATCGAAATAAACCTAAGTTAACCTTTTTTTCTTTCTAGAATGACTTCCAATTGTAACATGAAACTGCATTATTTTATCCTAAGTAGCTCTAAGTTTGTAACATTATACATCCATTTATAATTAAATTTTATTGTTTTATTGCCTTTTGAACTATGTCTAACTACTTTCTGTACCATAACAAGTTGTAAGTCACTCAGAGAATGTGCAGGTCATGTTACGCTATTGAATTACATTACCCATGAGCTGCTAATGTCTGTGCCTTGTAAACCATTTTAATTATATTATTATAATTACTTATTTTATAGAATATAGACTAATAACATGCAAAAAGTAGACATATTCACTTACCTCTCAAAATTTTCCTGGCTTTTTAACTATGCGACAAGAGCCGTTACAAATTCATCCAATTAACTTTCCAACGGGAATGAATCTTGTACTTTGAATGAAATTCACGATACTCTGTTCAGAATATGACGTTATACAATACGTCATTTGATAGGTGAAAACCTTGACTTTCTGTTGGGTTTAAATATATAATAAAACGTAAGAGAGAACTATCAACAAATTGTGAAAGAGAAGATGTGGCAGGAGGGGTCTGATTTTTTATTCAATAGCTCTGTAACCAAACAAAATTGAAGGCTATAAAAATTATGGTTTGTTTGAGCAATAACGATAATAATATAGAGAGTATTTTATGTTTAATTTTGTACATTTTTGAGGGGTGATGAATAAAATTGAGATGATGACATGCTAAGACAAAATGTGTCACGTGCGTCACACAAGTGGAAATTCAGAATTTTTAAAAATATTTTTTTGTATAATTAAGAACTTAACTTGTATACTATTAAAATATGGATTATAAGCTAAGATTTTATGCTATTATAGTTGGTATGACATAAACAAAAAGTAATTTAATAAAATTTTGGATGTAAGACACTAAAACCTTGTGGTTAGCGCAGCAAAGGGTACCTGGGGCGAGAGGGTTAAATACTTTTCTGTGCAAGTCACTGAGTTACATTCAAACTTTTATTAAACATGTTTACTATTAATGTATGTGAATGAAATTATCACTATAATGCATGTTATGATTTGAAGTTTTATATTATACAAGTTTTAATTCCTTTATTTGAAAAGAAATCTTTAAATTATAATTAAAACTTCAGGTTTTGTTCTCATGTAATCCAAGAGCTATGAAAAATCTCATTTTTTGCACTCTCAGTTTTGTTTAAGATAATGCCAGTTGCATAAATGTGTGGTCTATACAATAAATACTTTAAGTTTCCCTATTGACACATTCCCACCTTCTATACTTTTACTTGAGCTTTATAACATACATGTGGTTGCTACATATGTATGTATATAGTTATTAGAAAGAGCTCATTTTATTCTGTAATCCAACAATGATTATTTTGAAATTTGCACACAGTTGTTCTTCATCTCGTAGATGTAACTGTCTGTAGTATTGGTGGCTACTTTATCCATGATAGCACTTACAGTTTTTTCTTTGCGAAGTATGGTATAATTAGAGAGACAGTTAAATTGTATTTAGGTCTTACTTTTATATCTTGATTAATTATGTAATACTTATGCTTTAAAATGCATAATTGATAGGTTTAAACATTTTCTAAATCTACCCTAACAAATTACTTAATGCACGAGCTACTCACAATGTACTTCATGAAAAGTTTTCATTATTATTATTCTTTACTGTACCTAATCTAACCTAAAAAGTTCCTAATTTTTGTATTTTAGTTACATTTATAATAATAAATAAAGAATACACGTGAAAAACAAGAAATATAATACTACAGCATTAAATAACGTTTTATTTAATTAAGTAATGCACCAGTGAACCCTTAACCCTTTTGAGATGGGTCACAGGTGAAAGGCCATGTCATCTTGTTTGTTGACTCGCATTAAAAATTTTATTGAACTTCTATTTTGTGAATTTATGTCCATATGTTTGGTATTAAACTGTAGATTATAAATCAAATTTTAGTTCTATATATTACTCAATTTCTTAATTTAAAAGCAAATATTAAAAAAAATACAGATAAACATCAATTTTTATGTGTCATGTGGTATGCTGAATGCAATACTGGT